TGTGTGTGTGTGTGTGTGTGTGTGTGTGTGTGTGTGTGTGTGTGTGTGTGTGCGTTTCAATTTCATCAAGCCACTACAATGCCTGACCCACTTCTGTGCTACAAATGAGCTACATGTATGCAGTGAATGTACCAGCGCTCGTGCACACCGTGGAGCAGGTGGGTATCAGCATGCTGCCCACAGGAGACTATCCCTGTTCTCCTTTTACCATCTGACTTTTAGAGGGTGGAGGGGCTCTGCGTGTGTTCGACTCTATCGGCGTGCATGTACAGCATGTGTGCATTAATCAAGATCCGTGAGAAGCAGAGAGATGAGGAGGGGGACATCTCAAGGTAACGCGGGGGAGGGGTGACAATCCTGTTATTCTCTAGGTGGTAATGACAAACATGTCACCTGTAACTCATCTCCTTCTTATCACCACAAATCTCTTTAAATCACATCCAGTGGCAAGGGTCTGTTGTATATGGCCAGAATATACTGTGCAGGGGCCTCCATTCATGTCCTCTCATGTTCTGTTTTTCTCTTATAGCCTTGACTTCAGTGAACAGCGTACAGCAGACAGTTTAACTAGTCGTAAAATGAAACAGGTTAAACAGGTTCTGAATTAGGTTGAAATGTAACCTTTTGTCATTAATGTGATTTTTTGTATCGGTATTTATTCTTTTTTGCTTATTTATACTTGGAGGGAAATCTATACACGTACCTCTGGACCAAGAAGTAATGCACCTTCATGCTTTTTTCCAAACTCTATAAACATGAAATGAAAATACCCTGTGATGTCTTCTTCTAATGCCCATAAGAACAGATCATGAAAAAGACCAAATTAAGAAAGTAAAGGAATTTAAACACTGATATTTTTTAATATATACATGCTTATAAAAATAAAGTATCCTGTTGTTGCTTTACTGGTACATTGGTTTGTTACTGGGGCATTGCCAAGCTTATCATGTATTATGGCACCTAAAAGGAAACTAAAACCTAAAGGTATGAGTAATACAAAACATTTTAGTAACTGAGAATGAAAATGAAAATGCAACAACTCACTGGAACAATATTAAAATAAAAGAAAAACATACAGGAAATAAGTCAAATTTGTCGGCGTAATCGTCATGAGGAGGCTTTGGCTCAAGTTTATTAACCCCGGGGTGTCGGCATGATTATTATTCAATTTTTCCTCATAAAATAATGTGTTTTCATGTAAGTTAGATCAACAAAGAAACAATAAAAGCTTAAAACCAAAGAGTAAAATTTGTATTTTGCCCAATTTCTTTTTGCGTTTGGCCCAACAAAGGCAAATTTCCTGGGGTTGCACCTCAAAATCTCAGAGAAACGGTGCAAATATGGTCTTTTTTTACTGCTTGGGAACATGTACACACCTTTTTGGCCATTAAGAAGGTACACACAGTTACCTTGAGGTCCAATAATTAACCCTAAGGGGGTACATTTATATAGACAGTGAACTTCCTCTAGTTCTAGTGTAAGTGTATTTATGTAAAAACAAACTAAGCCTTCTTCTTGAACAAGGGAATGAAACCATGTAAACACAGTTACTTCGGGCTATATAATTAAATCGGTGTAGCCTGATAATGTGTGGCTCATCTCTTTAGTTTTTCTGTTGTTCTGTGCAATAAATTACTTTGAAGATGAGGCCCTGAACTCATTCGGTTCAGGGATTAAATATAAATATAATACAACAGCAATACTCTTCAGCTCACCTGCTCTTGGGGCCATCTCTGCCTGTCATCAGGTGAGCGTGGATGCGTCTTGTGGCCCCGCTGGAGATCAGGGTTGTTGTGGTGCATGGAGGGGAGGTTGAGGGACTTGGGCCTACTGTCGTGTCGGTGGTGAGGTGGAGGGTAAGGTGCTGCGTCGGGCTTGGAGTGAGGGTAGTCACTTGGTGCGGGGTCCTGTGCCAGCTCTTCCGGGCTTTGGTCTGTGCCACTGCTGAGACTCCCCATGCTCATACTCATCTTAATCTCAGCAACAATTTGATCAATGTCCTCCTCAGCTTCCTCCCCTGTTTCCCCCTCAACCACCAGCACTTTACGGCTTCGGTAGGGAGAGACTCGCACCGAGTTCCCATTGTCTTCAGGGGCGTAGTAGTCTCCGGTGTAGGCCCTTCCATTTCTCTCCTCCTCCTCGCCTTCCTCTTCTTCATCCTCGTTAGGGCAGTAGTCCTCGCTCTCCGCCTCCTCTTCTTCTCTGTCAGCCCTTCGGGTGTGTGCGGCATCCTGCGTGGCAGGCTGGTGGTGGTGATGATGGTGGTGGTGATGGTCCAGGATGGGCTCCGGTCGTCCGTTGTATATCTGCTCATCGGGATCTTGCTCCACCACCTCACAGCGGACCTCTCCCTCTCCCTCACCCCACTCCTCCACTCGGTGCCTCTCACGACCCGCCCACTGCTCCTGCCTGGCCTGGCACTCCTCCCTCCACTCCTCTCGCGGCTCCTCATCTCCCTGTCTCCACTCTTTCCTCACCTCTTCCTCCTCTTCTCTCCACTCTTCCCTCACCTCTTCCTCCTCTTCTCTCCACTCTTCCCTCGCTGCCCCTTCCCCCTCCTCATCTTCCACCCATTCTTCTTCTCTCGCTTGCCCCTCCCCCTCTTCGGTCCAGCCCTCCACAGCTTCCTGGCATTCATCAGTGTGGGACCCGCCGAGCTGCATGGTGCTGGTGCAGTCCCCCCGGCTGTGGCTGTGGTTGCAGTCTCCCTGGTTGTTGCAGTCCATGCCCTCCAGGTAGCTGTCATCCTCTGGGCAGTAGCGGATGTAGTAAGTAACACCTTCATCCTCCTCTGCCAACCCTGAAGAAGTTTTATAATCACATTAAGTTGTGGTCCTTATATTTGGAGCTTCTTCACTAATATAATTATCACTATAAGTCTATAAGTTGTATGCATACTTTAGCTTACTGATGTCTAAATCGCAAACAGTTACTAAGCATGGGCAGGCTCAATTTCTATTTAAAGGACAAACTTTGGTAGCTACAAAATGTTATTTATGGGTTTTCCTTTGATTTGTAGAACCAATAAAAAAAATCAGTACTGCAAATATTGTGCCAATTAGCAGAATTAATAATAATGGATATTAAAATATTATAAAAAATATTATAAAAATAAAAGGTAAAACAGAAAAGTTGACCATGTACACATTTACCGTCATCATAGTCATCATCATCTGAGGTGTTGTTTATATAATCAGAGCTGGAATCATCATCCAGGCTGTCGGCTCCACCGTGGAAGTCCCCCTGGTTAGGGTCATCTCGGTCGTGGTTATGTTCCGGCGTGGATGGTGTTGCTGGACGCTGATCCTGAAGTTCTGCGTCTGGTTCGTGGTTGCTGTACCGCTTCACTTCCTCCTCCTGATCTGCATCCGCTTCTGGATGACTGCGCCCCGTGCCTTGAGACTTGGGAGAAGAATATTGTGCCTTGCAGGAGTGAGGGAGAGGTTTCGGCTCACGCGATTCTTTGGGGTAGCGGTGTGGGCGTTGCCGCGCCGCTACTGCTTTCAGATCACATGACTCTGTAGCGTGAGTGGTAGGACAGGAGGCGGGACCTGGGGCAGCCATACTATTTCCTCCACTGGTCCCTGGCCTCTTCCTTTGAGCCATGCTTGGCGGCTTACAGGCCATGCATTGTTGTGGGTTTTACCCTACGTGACAGAGGAAAAACAGGAGAAAGACTTCAGAATGTCTTAAAATTCAGATGCATAACATGATTGTTCACATCTACAAGGCCAAAGCTGGTATAATTATAAGGTTTTAGGACAAATCCATAAAATGTGTTATCACATTTCTATAAACAGATTCCCTTTATCAAACAGACCCATGTGCAAACAAACACATTCTGGGACTCCAATATATTCTTGTAATTAAATAAGACATGGTTTATTTACAGTGTACAGTCTAAAGAACACTTTGGTGCTTACTTCAAATTTCAAACTCCAAATTCACAACAGTGGTTTTGACATGTTGCTCAGGCTGTTTTATAACCATAAACACAAAGAACAGAGCCTTTCTGGGCATACCGCCTGCACATAAACCTAATGGGACAATGCCAGACAAAGAATCAATAGTTAAATCAAGGTCATCTCCACATAGGTGCTGAACATGTGCACAGATACCAGTGCAGATGATCAGTCAATCAAGACACTTATTGATCCTTCTGAAGCTTACTCGCCGGGAATACTCAATGTGGGACACGGTAAAAGCTGCTCCTATGGAAGATCTGTTTACGCAGGGCAGACAGAGAAACAACAAATTGTCTCTGTTCTCTAAAAGAATGATGAAAGATTTTTGCTCGCATATGAATGACCATTTTTCCCTTTGGAATCGAAAATGAAAATGAGAAATCAAGAGGAATTACTGAAAAAGGCATTAGTCTGTCAGTGTCATGCTGTGTCTTAGAGCAACGGTCCAAGTTTATGATGTATTTTTCACTTTAGGGCCTTTGTATTCAAAGAATGTAAGCCCTCTTCTTCATGATTTATAGATGGTTAACAGAAGTTGTGAAAAAGGTTCTTGGTAAGGAGGTTTCTTTGAAGCCGGTATTTGGTGGCACTTTTTGTACTTTCAGCTGCGAAGATCAAACAGTAGATGTCACTTTTATGAAAATAGTTATTAATGAGACACCATTACTAAAACCCACTGCTGTAAACATTACATATGCCACTCTCTAAAATACAAAAAGATTGAATAAAAGGACTATGAAAAGACTGAATAACCAAAATATGCATGCACTGTCTCAGACAATCCAGTCAAAGAAAAAGAGGCTAGTTTGCACAGATTATATTTAAGAACTAAGAACAACCAAACACAACTGTAACAAGCGAAGAATAAACACATAGCTCCAAAACAAAAACATAGTATGATATAAATGCACAAACAAATCACAAGATATATTTGCTGCACTGAATCCCAACATCCAACTGAAAAAGTTCAGCTCTTGTGTACTTTTCTGTTAGATGCATCCTTTGTGCACTGCCATCCATTTTGCCACCACCCTTACTCTATTGTGCCATCCAGCTGCCATAAACAACTTCCCTCAGAGGGCTGTTGCTACGACTTTCCCTCATTCTCACTCGCCATAATAACATTTTTCCATCACCAGCGATTAAACTGGTTAATTAGCTCTGCACAACCTGGCACAAAACAAAGGCGGGAACGCACACAGAAACACACACGAGAGATTGTTCAAGGGAGTCAGATTAAATGTGCACACAGAGATATGTACATATGTACCGGGCTCTAATGACATCGCTAACATGAAGGTTTCTGCTCACCGAGTTTCTGCAAGTGCAGAGACATGGACACACCTGATGAAACACAGCAACACCATCACCTAATGAGGCGTCACTGTACATGACATGACACGTCAAACGATTTTCCTTCTGTTCTATTGGCAGTGATTTCTATTAAAACCTTCACCTTTTCAACGTATTCTAAACCATGTATTGTTCATATCTCTTACCTGGTATCCTGAGGTTGGTGTCTGCTGTACAATAGCACTACGATCTGTTGTAACAACAGTCCTCCCTCCGCCTCTGCTCCTCGCTCCTCCCATCCCCCACCAGCTGCTCCACAGCATGCACCTCTGTGACTCCACCCTCCCTCTTTCTTCACATTGTAACCCAGCATCATCCTGTTGGAGCTCAGCCACGCCTCATACAAATCCCCAGAGCTGGGGGGAAGGATCGGTAACTATGGGTAACTGCATCCCCTGGGGGCTGATACCCTCTGACCTCCTCTTGGCTTCCTAGATTCACAAAAAAAAGTCACCTGTTCCTCATGTGGTGTTGCCTGACTGTTCACATCACATTTTTTGATTATTTACACCCCAGCGCCAATACAATTGCCATGTAATTCTGGAAATCCGGTAAGTCCCTGGCCAGGTGGCTTTTCCCAAATCAGCTTTGTGTGGCATGGATTTGACTGTGTTTATTCACTTTGCATGAATTTGTACTTGAATGATAATGCCATAATAACAACACTCACAAGGGATGTGTCTCACCTGTTTTGTAATTTTAGAATAAATCACGGCACACAATCCATCTGTGCTTTTACACGGGTAAAAAGTCAGTTGGCGCTTACTTTTTTCTTTTGGTTTGTTTATGTTTTGGTTATCTACTAATCCACCCACATTTCCCACTTTTAAAAGCACAAACATCCATCCATCTATTATCTTAAGAGCTTTTCCAATTTAGGGTCGCAGGAGACCTGGAGTCTATACCAGCTGTGAGTGGGAGAGAGGCAGGGTACAGCCTGGGACTAACACAGACACCAAACAGTCTCATACACACACCTACGGCCAGTCACATAAAACTAAGCTACATCTCTTTAAACTGTGCGAGAAAACCTTTGGAGTTTTAAAAAAATGCAAACATACATAGAAACGCTCCAGCTCACCAAAAGGTTTGCACCCAGAACATTCTCTCGGCCCAAGACACTAACACAACAGTAATTTCTGTACTGAAATGTGGTGCACTCCTAACAAGAAAAACAGCAGCTATGTTTCATTATGCTGCCAACCAAAAAAACCAAGCTCTGCAGGAAACAGAAGCAGACTCCGGCTATAAGACATGAGGCATCAGCAGGAAGAATGGGGACAATTTGGGATCCTGAAATTCAATATGCCTACGTGTGATGCAAGTATTTTGTCAGTGATAAGCCAAATATCCAAATGTAGGCCATCAAAATTCTGTGAACTGAGCTACAGCAGCTTGTATTAGAGTGAAATGAGAAAAACTCAGAAAGCTATAACTAGCATTATTATGACTGAAATGCTTTAATTGGAAACAGCAGCTGTCAAACAGCTAACGAGACATAAGCTGTTAAAACAATCCTCCAACAGAGTAAAATATCAAACATTTTTAACCAGATAAAGGAACATTGTCAGCTGCATGCTGCATTTTGTGTTTTCCCCTTGAGTGTGTGTGGTTACCTCTATCAAGTTTAGCGTCATTATCAAGTTTTGAAAATATCGGGCTCTCATGCTCTAGGCTAGGAGTTGGTAGTCAGATGTTATCAGGCTATGTGTGGGCACGCAGGTAGCTCTTGTCAGCTCAAGACAGCGGCTGCTGATGCTGAACTGCCAAAGGAAGCACTCAGTAAGGAACGGGGCGGGGTCCTGTCTCACTGTCTCATTGTATCAGTGACGTCCGTTCAGTGCAGGCTTTTTCAGTGTTTTTCATCTCGACTTTCTCCATTCCTCTTTGACAGTCATAATAAGACAAGCGACAGTTGCTATTATTTTTCAGACACATTCTCGAGATGAGATTACCTACATTCAAAGTGGCATGAAAATCACGAAGGAGTTTATCTTCTTTACTTCTCTGCAGCCATACTTTCAGGAGGTAAATTCAGACTAGTGACTAATACTTTTCTGCAAGCGCTGAATGTATGCGATTATACTCTGTCAGCTCGCCCTCAGGGGTAGTCTTTGCAGTTTGTGAAACTTTAAATGGGAAGTGTAGCTCAAAGTTAGCTGTTAAGTTTGGGGCAATGTACAGGAATGCAGTCAGCCTTTTTTCATAAGAGCTGAAAATGGTTTGGATTGACTCACTGTGAATTAATTCTCTCTTTGGTCTTCTGCGATTTTCTACTTCGACGAGCTGCAAAGAAGTTGCTGCTACACAGCTTGTATGCATGATTGCACGGTGCTTTGTGTTAGCCCTTCAGAGAAACGCTGTGACTGTGTCTGACCTCTAAATTGCACATGTCCGCCTATTTGAACTTGAAAGACTTTAACTATATTAGTCTCTCCTGGACAAGCTGTTTTCTGTGTCTTTTACTTAATGCATGCAGGGAAATGTTCCAGCCCCACGGGAATAGAATATCTGAATAGAAATGCAATGGATAAGAAAACAAATGAGTGCCTGGTGCACAAAGAAATCAAAATCCAGCTGGCTCCATCACTGTACACTTATTTATCCACACCTGCACGCTCACCAAGTATCTGTCTCCCACACAAACGTTTGAAATACAGGCACTGACTCAAGCTGCAACCTTCAGCACTAAAAGAGGCTCGACACACACATATACGCACACACAGGCAGCAGTAACAGCAGCATATGAGCCGACCTGCCTGCAGTATCCCATTTGTTTGTTCTCTGCTGCACTTGGGGCCACTTGTCTTCACAGACAGACCTATTCAGGTCTGTTTGAATAACTACTTCAGCTACAGTAAGACAAAGCCTTAAATTATCCTGGGACACTCCCCTTGTACATGTATGTCTTAAACTGTGTGCATATGTGTGGATGTGCAAAGCTGAGGAGCAGACAGAGGGCAAGGGAAGCAGATGGCTTGGTCATAGTGTGAGATTTGGGAATGCTAATGTCTCTCTGTTCTGAATTTCAAGTTATGACCTCTGATCACACCACTGAATTAGACAGCCAGGCTTCACCGTGGAAGAAGAAATAGAAAACAGATAAGGCAGGGACAGAAAGACAAAGACTGAAGGTTATCGACCGAGTTGTTACACAGCTATTCAAATCATCTTTAAATGCTATAAGACAGAAATTAATCTCCACTGATGCTATTAGGATAGGAATGATTAGGTGGTAGAAAAGTAATGATCACTGAGTTATTTAACTGAGATTGCACCAATGGAGGTTCCATTCATCCACCCACTTTTCTCCATTTATGCTTTTCAGC